ATATAACAAATGAAACCTGTTCTATAAAGATGTAACAAATGGAACCTGTTCTATAAACATGCAACAAATGGAACCTGTTCTATAAACATGTAACAAATGGAACCTGTTCTATAAACACGTAACAAATGGAACCTAAACATGTAACAAATGGAACCTAAACATGTATCAAATGGAATCTGTTCTATAAACATGTAACAAATGGAACCTGTTCTATTATAGCAAATTTAACTAGGTATCAACTTGATCACTCATTCATTTCAGTGCCTGATTAAAAATTTAAATTGAATATATACTTTTTTTCGGTATTTTAATGCCATGATCGTGACTGACGTCGTCTCACATTTTGCCAAGCAGGCCATCCAAATTTAAAATAATCGAACTATAAAGATTTGTAATTTGTAAGAGGAAAAAAGCGCATAAAATACAAAACAAAAATTTAAAAAATGGCAAACAGCCCAATAAATGTGTAAAATGAACTATATTTCTACTTTTATTCTTTCTTTTTAAATCTCAACCCTGTTGGTGGTATTTATTGTTATAACGAAACATATTATCCCTTTTGAATTTAGAATATGTTTTCTACTTTATTATAATATTAAAGCATAAAGATAACCCTACAATTCTCTATCTGTATCAGTAGAACATAGTATTCCAAACAATTGTTGGTCTCTTTTCTTTTGAAATTCAAATTTACTACAAAGTTTTTAACATTTGAATACGAAATAATGTCGAAAATGTTGGCAAAAAAACTTTTTTCCATAATCTCCTTTGTAACATATACTAATGAAGTCTCTAATGATATGCATTAGATTAAGATAACAACGCGTTACACGAAAAATTGGCTTCCATCCATTTCTCATGGTTTTATGCTTGCCATCATCGGGGATGGTTGGGACATCTATTGTTTGAAGAACGTTCAATCACCCATCCTTTTCAATGTATTCAAGATGTTTTGGGGGCAGTTTCTTTTTCTTATAAAACTTAGCATGCATTTATAGTTACTCATTAAGTTAAATGTTACCAAAGATAAAGAAATGAAGAAATTGTTAATCATTTTTAAACTGTTTTCTTTGTAAAAAGTCAAAACTGTTTTCTTTGAAAAAAGTTTGTTTCATTTTAAAACTACAAACTTCTTAAAGTTTGTAGTTTTAAAATGAAAAAAAAAAATTAAACAAATGTACTTCTGATTTAGTGATTTATAATGTAGAACCGTACTTTCCTCCTTATATTCCAAACAATGCCAGTCATGTACCAATTTATAAAAATGAATAAAAAATGTATTTATTTAAGAATTTCTTTGATGAATTATAGAAAGACCATTTCATCCATTATTTTAACCATTATTATCAGAGAACGATTACCCAAGCGATACAAAATCAAAATGCTCCAGCATAAAAAGTAGGGGAAAATCTTGCAAAATAATCCCGATAACCGAGCCTCATGAAAAAAGGGAAACGCTAGTAATTACAATTGGTTCATAAAATAGGCCGAGGGAATAATATGGTTCTCACGGTTTGGTTTGAGGGAAATTTTAAAATGTTTCATGCATACTTAAGATTTAAATATAGAACCAAAATGACGGATAAGAATAAGAAAAAGTGAGAAAGCGTTTAATTTTGAATCATAAGTTAGGAAGGTTTAGATAAAGAAATAACAGAAAAAGATTAGTTCAAACTTTTTATGTATGTTTTGTATGTGTATATTGATTGTAAGTAGGTATTGATTTTTAAAATCGCGTTTTTGAGCGGAAGGTGGGTAGGATTTTGCAATTTTACACTATAAATAATTGGCCATAAACTTGAACTTCTTTGCTTATATATAACAGAATTTATAAATTAGGTGTATACAAATAAAGTCGATGAGAAATGATCAAATGCGGCGTAAGAGATAATAGCCTCAGTGGTGGCCTCTGTTCTTGATCCCACACTAACCTTCACTATTTAAACAAAGCACTTCTTTGGTATTATAATTTCTTATGTTCTAAAGCTATCAGCAAATGAACGTAGTAACTATAGGAGGGAAAACAGCTTCCCATCGACGTTAAAAAGTTCATGGTAAGTATACTTCCCGCTGCCTTATATCTAGGGTTAATAATCAAACTCACAGAATGAAAATAATTTTAACTCAAAAGGATGCATTTTGTTAGAAACTTATACTCATTTTCAATTTAAATTTTGGCAGAAGCATTTTATTATGTTAAGTGTCTTATTACAACAACAACAAAAAAAACAGTACGGAATTTATTCGAAAACATTCTTTTAAGTGCTTGCACTTGTAAACTAGCCAAGTTTTAAACAATGTATGTCTAGAATTAAGACTGTAAACATAAAGTTCACAAAAAAAGATTAATATTTATCGTAAATATTAAAATAAAGCAAATGTCTGAAAACTAAGAACGTTATTGTTTTCCCATGAGTTTGACGAAACAAAAAAAGATTCACACTTCGAACATTAGGTATGATGAAATAGCTTCTTGGTAATAAATAAAATCTCCTGACTGCTTAACTATTACTTGATATATAGTAATATGCAGAAAAACAATACAACAATAAAATAATAAAATGAGTCTTCAGTACTACATTTTTGTAGAGGGAGACAGTTGTATTCATATTCTCACTTTTCCCTGATGATTGTTAAGCACAGAATATGATTTTCCCAATCGAACAAAAGTAGTACGGCAGTAAAATGTTCTTTTAGTGCTCAGAATATTTTAGAAAAGTCCTCTGAACTATTCCCAAGGGAACATCATCGGAGAGTACCTGGTGGAAAAAGAAAAAAATTAACCTTTTGGTGTATCAAATAATATAATTAAAAAACAAATAAATGAGCAAGAAGAAGAAATGAAGAATTATTTATTTGTTGTAAAATAAAATTATTGAGAATTAACAAACAAAAATCAAGAGGAGTTCAGTATAATGCAGTATAAGTAGTCACCACTAGCTAAATAAAGATATTTTAAAAAACGTACTTGAATGCTTTTGTTTTATTTATTTTTAGAGCCCAATTGATAATCGCAATTTTATTGGATTTTTCTCTAAATTTATTTATTCATTTTTGGTTTAAGGAAGTTTACTTCGCTGTTATTAAACTTTTTCATTCCTTTTTCTTTGCTAATGTCAAAATAAAATTCTCAAAAATTATTGCTTATTTGATTTTTTTTTTTTTTAAATGGTAACTAATTACGTAAGCATTTAACTTGGTAATTTGGGAATATTGTTTATGGAAAATATGAGAAACAAATATGATATAATTAAAAAATTTTATTCATGAATAATTAAAATTCAAATTAAAAGAAAAAAAAAGAAACAGAAAAGGATAATCAGGGCCCGAGCTAAGCATTCGCCATCTCGCCAAATGAGATAAAATCGTAAATTTGGCAAATAAAATTGTGTTTTGGCGAAAGTATTGGCGAATGACTTTTTCCACTGGAAAGAAAAATATATATTTAACTCGATCCTCAAATTGAGGTTAAAATGAATTTTTCTAAGCGAATCAGTATTTTTTATTCGATTACGGCAATTTTCGGTTGATGTGCCGCATAACCAATTAGAATTGAGTCCAAGTAATATAAGCCTGAAACAAACTGCAGTAAAATAGTTTTTGATGGGAAAAAATTAATCATAAGAAATTTTTAAGATTTGTATTTGGCGAAGACTTTCGACAATTGGTGAACACTTTTGATATCTGGCTAATTTACTGGCTAATAATTTTAAATACTTAACGCGGGTCCTGATAATGAAATGTTACAGACAAATAAAAAAAATTAAAATCTAAAAGTAAATATAATTATTAAGCTATTAGGAATATAAAAAGTAAAATAAGTGTATCAATGTAATAAATAAAAATAATTCTAATCCAAAAATCTGGAAAAATCAAGCCAAGAAATTATAACAATAACTTACTATATTTTACAACATTTAACTGTGTATGTCACTGACTTGGCTCTGAAATTTGACTAAGTTAGAATATTCACTATTCGGGTACAAAATAAAGTAAAATGTAATTGGTTACACTAATGAATCTCACTGCAATTAAGATTGCACGCAATTGAGAATATTCATAATTAAATTTACAATTGTAATCATGATTAGATATAATCATTATTTCTTGTAATTACAGTTCAATAATAGTTATAATTCACAATTGCAATTTTTTTCGCTAATTATGTTTGCTTGGCTTCTACTAGAACCATTAAAAATTGATGTCGCACATTTTTTTAAATTTTTTTAATCCCCCCACCCCATCACAAAGTGTCACTTCTAGTCTTTAACCCCTTTTAACTTATCATGTACGCTATAGTAAATAAATATATGCTATCAGTTTGGAAGCAAAACTCATTTTATGGGTCATATCTAGAAAATTTAATTTTTAAGCTTCAACAAAGTTTTTTCATAAGATTTGTAGCATAGAAATAATAATGATTAGATGTGTACTCATTTTGATAAAAAATATGAAGAAAAAAAATGAAATAAATAAAAATATTTAATCTGTATTTATAATATAAACATATAGATATTTAATTTTTAAAGAAATAATAAGATATAATTACTATGAACTGAAAATGAAAAGAATTTGAATAATTTATTCAAAACAACATACCCAAAAATATAAAAATTCACCCTATGATACCATTATATATTTTAAAGTTGCTTTGGAACTACTAATTAGGTAAACTAACTAGTACTACTTACTTTGGAACTACTGTTAGGTAAATTTATTGGTATTCTGTCAATTAATAAAATTTTATTTAGCGCTTTTTTATGTCATTATATATATAACTCATTAGGATAATGGTACTATAAAACAATAAAACTGTAAGTCTCAAACATTATTACACATCGTTTCAACTAATTCTAACGAAAAATGCCGTGCAACTCAACTCAACTCTGTCAACTATCTCCGGTTAAACGGAAGTAATCATCTTTAAGTTTCATTATCTTGCATATAATAACAGTTATCACATATGAGCTCTAGTTCCTTATCATTCAAAAAGCGGAGATTAGGATTCAGGGACGGTGTTAGGATGTGACTCTTTATTTATCGAGTGTTTGTTTACGAATAGGGGAGGATTCTCAAAATAGACAATTCGACGGAAGTTTAACAAGATCGTTTGAAATTTTTTTTAATTAATTGCTAGCAAACGATAGTTCGCGATTAAATTGGCAACGAAGTAATTCAAGATTCTTTATCTAACGTTCTTAAAGACAAGACAAGAGACTCAAAAAAAGAAAATATGACGACAAATTTTACAACTAATGTGGAGATAATTACTTCAGATGGAGTGGTGAAAACTTTGATTGTTGATCAAGAGAGAAAGATAACTGGCGCTTATCAAAACTTCAGAAATATACCTGGTGCTTTAGTAGCTTGTTATGGACAATGGGTAGAGGTGTTAGATTTAAGTCATAACAAATTAAGGTAAGTAAAAATGAAGCTAGAAAAATTTGTCGTATTATTATTCAACCTCAAATGAATAATTTTAGATAAAATATTTTATTTTAAATAGCGTATAGTAATTTTAAACATTTGAACATTTCTATTTTAATTCGATTTTCCTATCCCGATTTGGTATTTCAGCATAACAGCAATATTTTTCCTTTTAAAATGAAAAATATTTTAAACACACATCCTCTTATTTGCTATTTGAAAATATTTGAGTGTATTTCGGCGTAATCATTAGCAAATAGTTTGTAAACAAGTATACAGTAATAGTATAGTAACATATAGTAATTTTAAACCTTTGAGTATTTGATTTATTGAGTAATTTGATTTTTTTTGTCCCGATTTAACATCTCAGCACAACAGCAAGATTATTCAATTAAAAAGGAAAAATATTTTAAACAGACATATTCTCTAATTTGCTATTTAAAAATATTTCAGTGCGTAACATTCTGGCGTAATCATTAGCAAATAATTTGCAAAAAGAAATGTATCAATAAACACAAGTCAACCTCAATAATATGAAAACTTCTTTGGCTTCAAAAATATGAAGATGGTAACAAAAGTCAGCATGTTTCGAGCGCCCAAGATTGACGCACATTTTCAAGAGTCGTCAGACGTGAATGACTTAATTAACAAGCTGATCTAAATTTTCTGTCTATTGTGATCTAAAAGTTATTGTCTATTGTGAAGTTATTATAATTATATTTAATTAAGCACTTATCAATTGTTAAGTTAGTCGTTATTTTAAAGTTTATTTTAAATTAACATATTCTTTAGAGAAAAAGAATGCATTTTTTTTTTTTGGTAAATGTATTTTATCCTCTGAAATATGGTGCCTTTTTTCGTTTAAAGCTGGATTAATTAATTCATTTTGAATCCTCAATTTAATATATTTAAACTAAAATATGCACACAAAAAATGAAAAAAATTTTTATTTGAATAATTTCTAAATGTAATATCTAGCTTTCAATTTCGTTATTTTTTTTTATTTAGAAACTAGTGTAAATGATTCTCTTACATTTTTCCATTTTTAGAATGCGGGGCAAGGCTTGGGCTCAGTTTTTTTTATCGCATTTGCTAATTTGAAATATTTTTATTAAATATAAAGTTTGAATTTTCTAAGTCTTTTTCTTCACGGTCATTTTTTCAAATTTTGAAACGATATATTTTAAATCCTAGTAAAAATATCAGAATAAAATTTTTATTGTCTCAGTTATTTTATTTTGATTTGTCTTCATAAAGCACTTTTAAAATTTGTATATAATTTTTAAATAATAATGAAGTAGAAAAATAAGCAAAAGAATGAATCGAGTCTTAAAATGTTCAGTTGCGCCAAATATTCGAAAAATTATCTTTATGGAATTAAAAAATTTTTATTAATATGTTTCATAAAAAATTTGATTTTCTTTGTAGTAGTAATACTTACATAAAACAGAAGCACAAAATTTCAACATATTGCATGCATAATTAAAATATTTTCAAAATTTGTCCCCTTAAGACTAATTTATGTGTCATTGGCTAAACATAAAAGCTAAGTTTAGAAATACACCAGTTTTTCCATTACTTTGGTATTTTAAGGCTTTTTTTAGTAAGCCTATGCATCTTTACGCTAATTAGAAGCCCTATTTTTAGTTACTCAAATAGTCTAGTTTCATACGGGCTCATTATGAATATGCCACAAAAGCAAATGATTGATGCAACCTACTTAATAATAAACTCACGTTTTAGCTTTAAAATATGCAGTATATTTCCTAATCTGTGCAATTTATAGATACTCGCATTTGCCTAAAAGTGAATGGAATCAGTGAAATGAGCCTATAAAATGTTAGGCTAAACGTAAGCTATTAGAAATGTTACTCAACGTCTTCACTTTAAAGCATTACTTAATGCATTGCAAAATGTTACTTAACGTTTTTCTTGAAAAACAAGCTGAAATCAGTATGAAATTCCCATTTGCGTTAAATCTAACACTGTGGTCATTTTAACCAATGTAAATTATCACAAAATATTTTTTATTATAATTATAGATTTGCTGTTAGTGTATTGAGAAAAAAAATATAGTCAAAACTACCAGAATATGGTAAAATTTACCGTGCTTCTGACTCAATGGAAAAACCGAAAAGCACGGTCACTTTTATCGCGTTGGTAATGATTTTGGTAAAATTAACAATAATATATACATCTATATATATATTTCTCTTACACGGTGACAAAAAAAAGCCTCATTGCAACTCCCCGAATGACAACGCTAGAAAATCGACCAATGATTGCAGGTAAAAATCTCACTTGCCAAATCTAGCTGAGGTGGCTCATCATATAGCGCTTTTAAAAACGGAAATAACCTTAAGCTAGGCAGAAGTGAGTAATCTTTGTCGATAGATCACTATTTTAGTATTTTGTCGAAAGCGCTTTTTTTCACGAATTTATATATTACGAATTTATTTGACGATTTTTGATTTATATCACGAATTTATTTGTTTTATTATTGTTATTAGTTATTAATTGAAAAAAGAGTCTCAGCCGTGCTGTTACGCTTTAAGATTTCATACTATAGCACATTTCTAATAGGTTTAACGAATTACATGTCATTTATTTGAATTCAAATTTATTTTAATGACTTAGTATTTACTAAAAATATGTAATTTCTTTTTAAAAAAATGCTCTTATATGAATTTTAATGACTGGTTTTAATTCTCAGAATTTCGTGTATTTGCAATGCACCTAAGTTAGTAGCGAGCGAAGCGAGCTTAGTTTGCGAAGCAAACCATATAAGATTGCGTAGCAGTTTTCGGGGGTTAGTGAGCAGGGAGCGCAGCCCACTAGTGTATTAAAATTTGGTAATTTTTATCATGATATCTCAGAGCATGACATAAAAATCATTTATTTGGTTAAATTTACTTTTCAGTTTTGTTCTTGTTACTAAATGTGTGGTAATAAGAACTATAATTTTGTAAACCAGAATTTCCGATGAACCATTACCATATGAACAGAAAATTATCAAATAAATGGTTTAAATACTAGAATTATGGCGTTTTTTTTTTTACCAGAAATGTCTTCACCATGCAAGCATATGGTAATTTTGCATAGGATTTTTTTCTCCGTGTGAGAAAGCCATCTTGCCCATGTTCAAAATTAGCTTTCCCATCCAATTAGTTTGGTAAACAATAAGTAGTAGTTTTTTAATACATAGCTGTTGCAAAACATAAAAAAATTACCCTTAACAACAACATTACATCTCCAAAAACCATTAAATTTACTGGGTTTTGTGCGGAAAAGTTAGGAAAGTGTGCAAATGTCAAACGAAATATTTAACATTAAATTATTACAGATAAAATTACCCAGATACAGATAATAATCTCAACTTTTAGATAAAATTTCATCAACGTGTCGAAAATTAGTGCGATTTTTAAATTGCATTCATTGTTCATAATGCTGATTATTTGACTTTGTATGAAAACTGTTAATCTAATAGGCTTCATATGATATGATTTAACCTTTAATCAGTTATAAATTCGTTTATAAACATTACAAATGTAATTTCGGTCAATGTTAGGATTCATCAATTCAAACTTTTATCATTTTATCTGTTATTTTATCCTACAGTATAATTTGATTAATGTAGAAGGGAGAAATTAACATTCACTAGGAAGTCATGTCACATTTCAGCACTGTAATTATCAACTTCTCAGATAGGACAGTTCCTTCGTTCTTTTAATAGAACAACCTTGAATTTAATAACTCGAAAGTCTTTAGGGTTGAATAGTTTCTTCCGCAAGAAAAAGTTACTTTAAGAGTTAAGTACTTACGTAAAACACAGAAAAATGAAAGAATTTAAAAAAAAAGAAAGAAAGAAAAATCCATAACATTAGAAATCAATTTATTTTGAACAAACTAATGCTATTTGTTTGGTATAGCTAATAAAAAGCTTAAAATAAAAATAATGGAAAAAGCCGTAACTCTCCGTAATAAAACTAATTTTTTCCCCCATTCGGCAACTCTTGAGTTGTATCTCGTTATTTTTAACTATCTTTTCGTCACAAAATCGCGTGACATTTGACGAATATTTGACAAAATATTTGACGAACTATTGCTTCCACTCAAGTGTTATAAAATAAAATATTTGTTTCCCATTTGTGTTTCATAATAAAGCATTCTGGAAGTTCTTCAATATATTTTTATTTGAATAATATATTCTTCAATATATTATATTTTGCCGTTTGCACCGTATGACGGGATGAGACAGCGGTTAGCGCTCTATCTAAAAATGTGGAAATTAACTAGTGTTTTGTTTACTTCAACCCACACTGAGGAAATAATGTGGTCAAAACTACCAGAATATGGTAAAATTTACCGTGTTTTTGGCTTTGTAGGAACACCAAAAAACTCGAAAATTTTTGTCAAAGCGCTTTGGTAATGATTTTGGTACAATTAACGAAAATATGATTTTAAATATGTGAAAATTTTGACAAATATGGATAAATTTGGAAATCTCAATCATGCTACCTTAGAGCATGGTACGAAAAACCATTTATTTAGGAAAATTTACTTTACAGTTTTATGTTTGGTTGGAACAGCTATAATTTTGAAAGCTATAATTACCGATAAAACCATATGAACGGAAAAATTATCAAATGAATGGAATATTTCGGTTTTGTTAACCAGAATTGCGTTTTTTTCCCCACCAGAAATGTCATTACTATGTAGTATGGTAAATTCCCCAGAATTTTTTTCTACATGCAAGATCCTCCCCATTTCAAGGTAGAATGGCACACATCATGACTATTTTTTAATGCGTGAAATTTCAAACTTAATTATTAGTACATTTTTTAAGCTTTTATTCTTACATTTATTACGAGTAAATAAGAATACGAGATAATTTCTCCCTATATGTTTTATTTTGGATTACTTTTATCGAAATGGCAATGCCCATCATCTATCTCACGTGCTTAAAAAATATCAAAACATAAAAAGTTCGA